GACAGTTCTGTTCAGTACAGGAGGGTTTCCAGCCCTCCTCCTTCCTGACTTCACTGCAGCTGTATAGATGTTATGCAACTGGACTTCTGGCAAACCAAACGATGGGTGGTCTTCACCCCAGGCAAAGGCAGGAACCAGAGGGGCCCATGAAGCACAGCTCTTAAAGGGCCATACCAGCTATTTGCATTGCACTACTATAAAGCTGGCAGATATGCAAACCAGAGATTTAACAAAACTACAATCAAAACTGATGGAGGCAAAATCAAGATCTGTTGGCTACTTTAAAGTCAGGTTCCAAAAACCCTGGAGTGAGCCTACACTTCCCATAATGCAACTTGGCAGCATCTCCTCACTTGGTAAATGTCGCAGGTCCTGTCAAACTTCAGTTGATAATTCAGACTTCCCACCAAAAAAGTGCAGCTACTGGTGAGACTCCTTGGAATCATCAGGGTCTGTCTGGTTTTGACTCAGGTGACGTTGATCAGAAACACGGTTTAGGAGGTGTTTCTCCTCATGTACAATTTGACAACACTTTGCTTGTAACAGTAGAACGACTCATACGGCCGCATGTTTCCTGCTTTTTCTGTCATAAAGGCGATGATGGGCTTTTTGGGGAACAGAGGCAAGACATGGGTCAAAGTGCCATCTGAAGCATCACAGAGGTGTCCAGCTGATGTTTCCTCTGGATTCTTTCACAGGAGAGCCTCTCATGTGTAACCTCTGTGGTTATTGGTCACGTCATGAGAACCACTGAAGGACAAATGTTNGCCCAGGACAGAGGGGCATCGCACCTACAGCCGGTTATTCATTTTATACAAAAGCAATAAAATGTTTACTAGCTTGCATTTTTTGTGCAATTTCACAGTGTCCTATACACTTTACAGACAGAACCCCCTGACACCAGAGTTTGTACAACAGCACTTTTACACTATGACTCTCACGCAGCATGCAGAAAGAAACTGTCCAAACAATCCAGGCACCATAACTCCACTACCTGCTCCAGATACCAGGGCTGGGTGTCTTTTTTTCTCACTTTTCCATTTAAAGCTGCCCTTTTTTTTAAGTTATTTTTTTGGCCTTGGTGCCTTTATTGGATAGCTTTAGTGAGAGGGAGACAGGAAAGTAGGGGAGAAGAATGGGGGGAGGACATGTGGGACATGCAGGATTTGAACTCATGACCTCCACATTGGGACTGTAGCCCTGCACATGGGACGCCAGCTCAACCAGGTGAGCTATAGCGGTGCCCCAAAGCTGCCTTTTTTTGCAATAATGACAGCAAGTAATGTGAAAGGAGTTACTCATAGCAACTCAGATACATAGAAGTAGCAGCAGCTCTGCAGTTCCACACAGCTATGCTGTGCCTTCAGCAGCTTTCAGCACCTTGGTCTGGTTTTACAGCCGACTGAAATATATTTAGTGGAAGAGTTAACCATTTAAGCAACAGTCCAGACTGCAGGTTGCTGTTACATGCTACCATGTATTTTCTTGTCCTGCTAAAATGTGATGTGTCTATGTTGTTACCTTCTGTCACTTTGTATTGTGTGTCCATTTGTCCCAGGTTACAACAGAGTTTCTTACAGTTAAGAAAACGATTGACTAAAGACGTTGAACCAGTTCAAAATGCTTAATGTCAATCTATGGGTGCACAGTAACAATCAACGTCTCTCCTTGCTCACCATCTCATTATCCTCACTGGTATTGGTCATGTTGCACCGCCACACCTTGCACTCTTGTAAATACCTGCAGATCTATGGTTCTTATTTACATTGTTCCTCACTGTATATTTGTTGTTGCACCAACCCACCAGAACAAATTCCTCGTACTGTGCAAACTACACCTGGAAATAAATCTGATTCTGAATATTTCAGTGAAGTATCAGGAAGGTAGTCATGATGCACAGATAAGTGAGACAACCACAGAAGCCACAGGTAAACAGAGGTAACTCACCCAGGGGGTCAGCCTTGCCATCCTTGTCCGGGACTGTGAACACACCCACCACCTTGTGACCCTGCTTTCTCAGGTTGGAGTAGACCTCCTGTCCAAACAGGCTCTGGCCAATAATAGCTAGTTTGAGCTTATTCTGGTAATAATGCTGTAACGAGAGGAAACAACACGTTAGATTCAGTTCTGTTCAGTGCATATCTGCAATGTTAAAAATGCTGCAAATGCTTCTCCACAGTAAGAG